AGGGGGAAGGAAGAAGGTACTTCCTGACCTTATTATTCACCAAAAGAGAGAACCCTGGAACCCTGGAAGATCAGGATTGGGGAGAAAATCATGATTTTTGAGTGGAATTTGCTGTGCTGTTGAGACACCCAAAAACCCATTTTGAGGAAGTCACTAGCAGATACTAACTGAAGCAGTGGGACCACCTAGGGGAGGGTATACTGTGAGAAGACAAGGGAGTTTAGGAGTTGTCAAGGTAAGAAAGGTCCAAACCTGTAGAGAATATGAGTTTGAGCCAAACTAACAATCACCAGGAAGCAAAATCTCAATGGACTGAGGTATTACCCTGAAAAGTGGCAGTTTTACCACTTATTTTATATGCTAGAATCTCTTTGGTGATAAGTTAGGGAGGAGGTAAAAAAACTTAATGGAAAAACCTCTGAAATTGGAATAAAACTGAAAGGGATAGACACACACTTGATTGTTATCAGGTAACAATTCACAATTAACGAGATAACAGTGACCACAGGAGTTCTGTGGTCTGGCTCTGGTGGGAGGTTGTGCCCCAGGGGTCTGGAAATAGGGGATTACTCTGACATTCCCAAGGTATGTTATGCAGAGGAAGAAAGTCAACAGACAGGCCCAGTTAAAGTAAAGATCGACCTTTGTCAAGGAAGATACTGGCCTGGCACAGGACTACCTGCCATGAAGTTTCACTTTCGGACCATCCTGGGTGGTTAATTTTGGTCTCTGAGTTTGTAAACGCTCTAGGGAGGCCTCCCCTAAGCTTGTCATGTGTAATGTGTAGTCTCTTTTTTGTCCACAGGACGAGCTTTGAAAAATAACTCAAATATTTAACGACTAGATAGAAAAGGAGGAACCTGCAGAGAGTGACTAGAGATGTGAGAAAAATGAGAGGTTTATGTCTGGGAAATGAAGGGAAATTATTTTAAGGAGAAAATGGTGAGCGTTGGTCATAGGTGCTGAATAGCCTAATAAAATATGCTTGAAAAACATATTGGATTCAACAATGTCAAAAAACCCCCAAAATTCAGCTGAGTGAATTGCTTTAAGTGATTCATGAATTGGACAGAATCTCTTCCAGCAACTTGAAGGGCTTGTACAAAATGGAAGGTTTTTGTAGGGAGAAGGGTGGGTAAAGGAGCTCTTAACAAAAGATAAGGATTATTTTTGAGCCAGGCACCTTTTCTTTGGGGAAGAGAGTTAGGGATGAGTGTTTATTATGCAGATTACCTCTTTCTATGTGGGGTGGGGCTTGGAGAGGACCCTTCTGACAGATTACTGGTGCTGGACCATAAAATTCCAATCTGATATATTTCTGGGAGTGGTTGAAAATGTGGTTAAGTCAGGTATTTAGTTTTGGTTTCAGGCTTTTAGCATTGAGTGGTGCCATTTTGGGCTGTGGTTTTCTCTTTTAACAACAAGTTGGAGGTTGTTGGTCACTTGGGAGGAGTGTTAGGTGCAGAAACCATCCTGAAATATATTTTGAGTGAGTGAGAGGTGAAAAATGGATGACAGTGAACAACTCAATCAGGGATTAGCTTTTAGGAGAAGAACATGATGAAGCATGTGATAATACCCCTCTCCAAATAAAAGGAGAGGGGTATTATCACTTTAACTCATGATGTTTAAAAACCTTATTTATTGTGCAAGTATATCATGGTAAGTAGCACAAAAGTATAGATCAGTGAATGAATTTTTACAAATCCAACACCTGTGTAACCATCACCTAAGGCAGGGGTGTCCAGCCTTTTGGTATCTCTGGGCTACACTGAAAGAAGAGTTGTCTTGGGCCACACATTAAATACACAAACACTAATGAAAACTGATGAGCAAAAAAAAAAGGTCTATGCATACTTTTTGTGATATCTGACACCATAGATAAGCAAAAGAATCATCACATAAAACCCTAATGCAATAGCCCTTTCGATAATCTTTTAAAATTCTCAAGGCAAAATAACACTAGAACAAAAATAAAGTTACCAAATGAAAGGAAATAACAAATGTAAGAGAAAACATATTATGCTGCTAATTTTATGTAATATTTTGTGCAATAAATTAAGTTCAATGGGAAAAAAAATTCTCTAGCTCTGGGTGGTATGGCACAGTAGTTTGAGTGCTGACCTGCGAACCAAAGGGTCACTGGTTTGACTCCCAGTCATGGCACACGCCTGGGTTGTGGGCCAAGTCCCCAGTGGGGAGCATGCGAGAGACAACCACACATTGATGTTTCTCTCCCTGTCTCCCTCCTTTCCCTTCTGTCTAGGAATAAATAAATAAAATCTTTTTAAAAACTTTTCAAAAAATCATTGAGCAGGACCCAAGTTGGTGATCACTAATATAGAAAATGTACATATCTAAGTAATAAAAGTTAGTATAAAACTTGGTAATAACACTAAGTAATGTTTTAAGTAAATTTATGATTTTGTGTTGGGCCCCATTCATAGCCATCCTGGGCTGTATGCGGCCTGTGGGCCATGGGTTGGACACCCCTGACCTAGGGTAAGAAATAGAATATTGCTAACTGCCTAGTGATTTTGAATTGCATGTAGATAGAATTATTCAATATACAGTCTTTTCCGTTTGGCTTATTTTACTTATTGTGCCTGTGAGGTTCTTCCATGTTATGGTGTATGGTAGTAGTTCATTCTTTTTCTGTGCTGAATAGTATTCCAGTGTAGCAATATAACACTGTGCTTGTCCATTCTGTGGCTGCACATTTGGATTGACTGCAGCTTCTGCCTCTTGTCAAATAATCTTGCTATGAATATTCCTGTGCATGTCTCTTAGTGTATGTGTATGTGCTCATGCTTCTAATGAGTGCTTGGCCCAAAGGTGTGGTATCTTCAACTTCACTGTGTTGTCAAACTGTGTTCCCGAGTGGTTGTAGTAATTTACATTCACCAGCAGTGAATAAGCAACCCATTTGCTCCACATCCTCTCACCACGTGGTTTTTGTCATTGTGGTTTTAATTAGCATTTCCTTGATTACAACAAATGAGGTTGAGCCACTTTTCATGTTTATTAATCATTTGACTATCTTCATGTCTTTTTTTTATGTCTCTTGCCTAGTTTTCTAATGACTTATCTTTCATATTGGTTTTCAGTTGTTCCATGGTGGGTGGGCCCTGTGGGGCTGTGCACGTTACAGGTCTCCCATGCGGCGGCTTGCCTTTCCAGGCTTGTGGTCAGAATGGCTCGTGATTAACAGAAGTTCTTCATTTGAATGTAAAAGATAATGCAGCAGAATTTGCCAGCCTTTTATGTTAAAGAGTTTGTGTGTATGTGTGTCCTGTTAAGAAATCTCTCCCTGTACTGTGATCATGAAAATACTTTTCTGTATTATCTTTTATACTTTTATTTTATATATGCCATTTATATCTAAAATCTACTGGTACTGATTGATTTGGAAAATTTTAAAAGATAAGCACTTCAGCATCTTTAAATGCTCTTTAAGAATTGAAGACAAAGAGAAGGAATGATTGGGAAAAAAGGCTCCTGAGAAGGTGGTGGAGGATGGAATCCAAAGCACAGATGGAGGGGTTTGCTTTAGACAGAAGGAAAGACAACTCTTGGTAATAGGATGGAAGGTGGGGAGGCTGCTACACATTGGTCTTTGGCAACAGGAAGTTTCTAGTTTTCCCTCGCAGGATGAAACACTACCTGCGAGTGAGAAGGGAGTGGGTAGAGTGAGGGCTTGAACAAAGTTTAAGAAAGTCATTGGAGAAATTGTAGAATAAGTTCTAGGAACAGAATAAATTTGTTGTGCAATTTTGAGGCTCCAGTTGAGGTTTGTGGAGATTGTTTAATTTATAGTGGTACCAGTTCTGTCTCACTGGTTTTTATGTATCAGTTCTTGGCCTCCATGGAACATACTAGGATAGTGGGTAGTTGGGTTCATCTAGGATTGGGGTTTTGCTATTTAGGTGCCATGCAGAGATCCTACACAAAGGGAAAAGAGAATGTAGATTATTGACAGAAATTACTGAGATGACTGATCTAAGAATGTAAGAAGGGAGGAGAATCGAAGACTAGTCTAAAGGGAGAAAGCAGGGGTATAAGTGAACTGGAGTCTTTTTTTTTTTTTTTAAAGATTTTATTTATTTACCTTTAGAGAGAGGGGAAGGGAAGGAGAGGGAGAGAAACATTGATGTGTAAGAGATGCATTGATTGGTTGCCTGTTGTACCTCCACAGCTGGGACCTGGCTCACAATTCAGGCATGTGTCCTGGTCAGGGAATCAGACCAGCGACCTTTCAGTTTACTGGCTGGGCTCAGTCCACTGAGCCACACCAGCCAGTGTTGGACGGGAGTCTTTTTTTTTTTTTTTTTGAACTAGAGTCTTAATAAAGTCAAAGAGTGAATCATAATGGAAGATAAATTTGTGATCTGAGAATAGGCTGCTAGAAATAGTCATTTCTGAGGTGCAATAGTTTTATTCAATAAGAATAGCTTATAATACTGATTATATAACTGGTGCTTAATATTAATTGATTAATAAAGTTGATTACACAAGTATACATAATTATTTTGTAGGGGACTGTGTGCACAGTGTCTGCAGACATATCAAGATTCAGTTCCTTTAAATACAGGAGCATAAATTTTCTTCCATTGCTATTTTACAAATATTAGAAATTCTAGATGATTGTACTTCTCATGGTTATATTTATTTAATTTTGGTACAATATTTCATTTTCATTTGTTATTTACAGATAGTTTTGTTTCTGATATTAATATTCCCTAGTTCTCTAGTGAGAGTTTGACTTTTTAAAATCTTGTGCTGATAATTATAGAAACTGTTTAAATGAAAAACTACTATTTTCATGATTTCAACTTCCTGTTCAGCTGTCTTTTAAATGATGTCTTCCAAATACTTCTGCACTTATTTTTTATTGAGAAACAATTGAAACAATTGTAGCAGTAATGGCATTAATGAAGTGTGCTGCTTTCTTGACTGACTTTGTATCTTTCTAATTTCTCTGTTACTTGATTCTAATGTAGATACATCAAGAAATCTGGAATTTCACGAAATACACAGCACTGGAAATGAGCCACCTTTGCTGATTATGATTGGCTACAGTGATGGAATGCAGGTCTGGAGCATCCCTGTGAGTATGAAGATGGTTGATTTCCTAAAATATAATACTTGCCAGCACTCTAGCTGATCTGAAATCTGGTGATACTTTCAGAAAGGTCTTCTCCATTTGTTTCACAGTAGTTGGTTAAGATATTGCTGTGGGTGCCACACTATACCAGGCACGAGGAATAAGGGGCACGTGGGAAATCAGAGAAGCTGCAGATGTTTTGTAAAGTGGGCCAGGAATTGTGGGAATCACTTGACATGCCAGGTCTCACTTTTTGTCTTGGTAGCTCTATTGAGTAGGCATTGTTCTCCCCCCGCACCATTTTACAGATGATTAAACAGGCTTACAGAGGGCTTTCTTTGAACATGAGCAATTATTATAAAAAATGTTTGAATTAGTTAAAACATTCACTTCATACAACATTCAGGAGATATACTTGTAAAAGGGTAAAAATCTCCCTCCCACACTTGTTTCCTTTTTCCTCTACCTTGAGACAACCAGATTTTCTAGTTTCTTTTGTATCCTTATAGCTATATTTTATGCAAAAATATATACATGATTTTATTTTTCCCCCTCCACTCTTTCCTAACAGATGGTAGCATATTAGTTTGTACCTTGATCTTTTTTACTCATAAAGTCAGTATTCTAAGAGTTATTTCATTGAAGTTTTTAGCTGCATATAATCTATTTGGAGTTCCTTAATTTATGTATCTTTTTCCCTATTATTGAAAACTATAAATGTACTTTTTTAAAAATTAGAAACTATAATATAATACATGAACTTGAACAAAGGCTATTTTAGATCAGTATATCTGTGTAGGGTAAATTCCAGTTTTGATAAATGTTTCAAGTTGCCAAATACAATCTCAGTGTGCCTTTGAAATCCTACATGTTCCTCTTGGGGATGATCAAAAAGAAAATGTCCTGAAAGAGGAAGAGGCTTGGTAGAGTCACAGCTCAGTGAAGTGTAGTGGGGATTGCATACTTCAGCTTGTAGTTGTTTACATTCTGGTTTTGGGCATGGCCTAAATATGGCATCTCCTCAGTAGACGGGGGTGGGAGGGTGGTACAGGCAGGGGACTTCTGTGGCTCTTTTGCAGTTGGGGGCTTGGGGCCAGTAGGATTTTAATTTGTGCCTTTACTAAATGCGTTCACCAAACTTCTTTGAAGCCCCGTGTGTGTGTGTTACAGCTGGAATCCCCGCTGCCTTTTTTACATTGTTGTTCTTTTGGGTAAATATCATTACTTCTTAAAATATTTATATCCAAACATATATTGCCGCAAATGATGGAAATCAGGATATTTTTGAGTGCAAGATTTTGGCTTCAGTGGTGTAAGGATTTAAGTGACCAGCAAGTCGGGCTTCGTCGTTCTTTAACATTTGAAGTGGAATATTATTTATTCTTTGATCAGTCACTTGTGATGAATTCTAGTCTTCCGTTTAATTGTATAATTATGTATCATTATTAAGTATTGAATATTTAGCATTTGGGGTTTTGTATTTCTAGTTTTTAAGGATTGGCTTCATTTTGCAAAGGTAGAAGATTCCTGCTGGTATGGCATGGAATTGGTGTCCTCTTTCTTTAGCCTTTTGGAATGTGTAGTTGATGTTTTTCAAGGCCCTGAAATATTCTTTGTAATTTAGGCACTGTGCCAAAGGCATGGATAAAGGACTTGAAATCTAGCAGTGGTTTTTACATTTTTTTTCTTCCTACCAAGAGTACTATTTCTATGTTGTGATCAGAGGAAAGAATTTTGTAAACATAACTTTTTCTTATTAAGAGAGACTGCATTTTGATTCATTACACTATTTGTTGACAGACTTCAAGGCAAAGAGGAAGCTCAAGCTTTAACACGAAGGTCGAACCTTGTGTGCTTAGGGGTGTTGACTGGATTGAGCACATTCCTTTGGTGGCACTCAGGCTGCCCACTTGTGTTGGGTATAATTAGAGGCATCACTTTTAATAGTTGCAAAGGTAACTTGTATTTAGCTCTGAATAACTTAAAGGTTTTCTGAGTGATTTAAATCACTTTTTAAAAATTTATTGATTTTAGAGAGAGGAAGGGAGGGAGAAAGGGAGCTTGGTGAACGGGGAGGGAGAGAGATTGAGATTTGTTGTTCTACTTATTAATGTATTCATTTGTGCTTCTTGTATGTACCCTGACCAGAGATTGAACCCACAACTTGGAATATCAGGATGACACTCTAACCAACTGAGCAACCCAGCCAGGGCCTAAATTACTTCTTTAAAGTAGTTCTTATGCTCAGATTTATTTTGTGAGAGTTGAATAATCTTTTCTTCATGGACACTGCAGTAGTATAGCCCTATGAGGACTGTTTCAAAAATTAGGGTGTATTGTTGGAGAACAAGCTCCTTGTGTTGCATCAGTTGAGTTCTTACTGGGTTCAAAGAGCTTTATATATACGTTATCTCATCTACGGTACACTGTAAGGCAGAAGTTACCCTGTTTTACAGGTGGTAAGGTCACACAGCTTGTCAGAGGTAGTACTGTAATTCAAACTCAATTCTGTCTGACTTCAAATTCGGAGTACCTGATCTAAGAGCTATACTTCATTACTTCCCAAATGTGATCGCAGAAGATATGTCATGTAGGTAGTTAGTTTTAGTTTTCATTGGAAAAGGTTATGATGTACCTTCAAAGATTCATCTTTTATAGGCTACTGTGACTGTTATCCATTACTTTAATGAAACCCTTCTGAAACTTGTTTATCACTAGTCAGTTATTCAGTAAGCATTTAAGTGTTCCCATGTGCCAGACAGTGGGGAGCCAATGTTGGTCAACTTAGAAGTGATCCTGGCTCTTAGGGATCTTTGCAGACCATAAATCCTTTGCTTTCTTTAAATTTAATTTAATTTACTGGAGTGATATTGTTTAATAGAATTATATAGGTTTCAGGTATACAATTCTATAAGACATCATCTGTATTAGGTTGGCCAAAAAGTTTGCTTAGTTTTTTCCATAAAATAAAAGATAATATTTTTATTTTCCCCAATAACTTTATTGATTTGGATATTTTGAATATGTTGGTATCAATTTCAGCTGGTCTCCTCAACTGTGGAGCATCATCCAGTGAGAAATCTCCAGCACGAAACTTCAAAGACCACTTTTGACATGTTCAATCAATCACAGCACCTTCTTCATACACCACACAAATCTTTTTTTGTCTTTCAGTTGCATTTTTACCTTTCTTGAAATAATGAAGCACAACATACTGAAAATGTTGCTTATTTTCTTCTATCTTCAGTATAAAAATGGCTACACAAAAATCCAGCAATTTTGATGTTTTTTTTTTTTTTAAGATTTTATTTATTTATTTTTAGAGAGGGGAAGGGAAGGAGAAGGAAAGGGAGAGAAACATCAATGTGTGGTTGCCTCTCACATGGCCCCCGCTGGGGACCTGGCCTGCAACCAAGGCATGTGCCCTGACTGGGAATCAAACTGGCAACCCCTTGGTTCACAGGCTAGCTCTCAGTCCACTGAGCCACACCAGCCAGGACTGAGAAGTTTTTTTTTTTTAATGTACACTGATATGACTGCTGTCACAATACAGTCTAATAATATTGTTTCAAATGAAGTTAAAGACAACTAAGTGCTACTAGAGCCACTTAACAGAAAAGATCAAATGGACTTTTGGCCAACCCAATATATTGTGTTGTGTGCTCAACACCCCAAGTCAGGTCTCATTACAGTACTACTTATCCCCCCTTTGCCCACTTCTGCCTCTTCCACCCCGCTTCCCCTCTGGCAATCATCATATTATTTTCTGTGTCTATGAAGATTTTTTTTTCTTAATCCCATCACTTTTTTCATCCAGCCTTAACCCTCACCCTTTTGACAGCTGTCAGCCTGTTTTCTGTACCTGTGAGTCTGTTTCTGTTTTGTTAGTGAAGTAATTTTGTCCATTAGATTTCTTATATTAGTTTCATATAAGTGAGATCATATGGTGCTTGTCTTTCTCTCACTGGTTTACTTTAGTTATCATATCATATACTTTCTGGGTCCATCCATGCTGTCGCTAAAGGTAAGAGTTCCTTCTTTTTAAAGCTGAGTATTATTCCATTATGTAAATATTTCACAGATTTTTTATCCACCCATTTACTGATGGGCAGTTGGGTTGCTAACAAATCTTGGGTATTGTAAATAACACTGCAATGAACATGGGGGTGAATATATTTTTTCAAATTAGTGTTTTGGGTTTCTTTGGATATATTCCCTGAAGTGAAATTGCTGCATCATAAGGCAGTTCCTTTTTCAGTTTTTTGAGGTAACTCCGTGCTGCTTTCCACAGTGGCTGTACCAATCTGCATTCTCTCCTTGAGGGTTCCCCTTTCTCCAAATCCTTGGCAACATTTGTTGTGTGATGGTTTATTGATGATAGCCATTCTGACAGGTTTCTATATGTCTGTTTTTATGCCAGTACTATGCTGTTTCTTTATTATTTTATTTTTATTTATTTAAAACTTTTTTAACCTCACCTGAGAACATTTGTATCAGAGAGAGGGAGGGAGGGGAGAGGAAGGGAGTAGAGAGAGAGAGAGAAAAAGAGATAGAGAAACATCAATATGAGAAACATTGGTTGGTTAGAGAGAGAGAGAGAGAGAGAGAGAGAGAAACATCAGTTGGTTGTCTTCTCATATGCACCCTGACCTGGAATCGAACCTACAACCTTTTGGTCTATAGGATGACGCTGCAGCCAACTGATCCATACTGATCAGGGCATTACCATGCTGTTTTGATTACTATGGCCTTGTAGTATAGTTTGATATTAGATAGTGTGATTCCTTCAGCTTTTGAGTAACTGTAGGTGAAGGGAACATTAATCTCTGTCCAAATCATAGCACAGTTTTTCTTCAATTTTGTATACGGTTCTCCCTTCTGTGGATTTTATATAATGGTCCCACTTATGAGTTGCAGGTTAAGAAAACAAACCTATTTTGGTTAGACATTAAAAGAAATGTCTAAATAAGAAGTGTACAAATATGAATGAAGCTGAGGTGGCA